AGAAAACAGGATATCATTCACTCTGAGATAAGATTTAGAGAACAATATGTTATGATATGATAGGCATAAAGAACAAGAAAGGTTAAGAACTATGGTTATTTAAAGACAATTATTTATAAAATAACAATAAGGCACTGGCTATAGCTCAATTATCTTGCATTTGGCATCTTGAGTCAAGTCCTATTTACATCAATATCCCTGTAACACCCATCACAGACTAAATGTCAATGATATCGACACTCAAGATCCAATCCATCATGCGGGTGGCCAGCTAAGCTCTCAAGAAAATAGAGTTATAATAAATCAAGTTACAATAAGCAAGTCTTCTCTATCAACTTTCCATTCATAAAGAGCATATCAAATGCCAACCTTGTTGACTAAAACAGTTTGTCTTAATGCCAGGTTGAGGCCACGTCAATAAAATTTACTCAGAGATGAGAATAAAACGCCAGACAGGCGCTATCTGCTAATATTAAGTAAAAACCTTGTAAATTAACTTTAGAAACTTGAATTGCCATGAGATGTTATAAATTAGTTCGATATCAAGTTTATTTATAAATATATTCAGTTCACAAAACATGATAAAAAATCATTTCTATTGTTGAATGGTCTCATGTCTCTGGAAAATACTAGTAAACTCACGATCATGTACTACACTAACTTGATTGATTTTATGTTTTTATTCTATAAACCAGATCAATCACTGAGACAGCAAATATTTGACAGATTTTCCCTACTAATCCAGTGGCCCGACAGAGAAAAGCAAAAGTTTACAAAAGCAATGGAGGGGGTGTTTTAAACTTCTAGATCTGTCAGTAATACAAAATTAACAAATGGCATAATTTAGACTAACTCTGGATGGTAACTTACACCACTGCACAAAAGGTACAGTCATTATGGTCACATGTTTAGTAAATTCCATCACTGCGTAAAAAGTACAGTTCACATCCTCATTAAAGATGCATTATGTAAGAGCTTAATCTACCTATTGCAAGTCTTTATTTAAGCTTCAAATGTTATATAAATTATTATTTAGATTTATTAACATGACAAGTCAATAATCAACTCATAGTCCATCGGATGGCCGAGATTTAAATGGATTTGAACACCCGCAAGATTTTAAAGTGTAACGATAAAATGGACTAAGTCTCTATTGTGCAGTTACATTGCTAGATAAAATAAACAATCTGTGCTACATCTTCCAACACCCATAACTTCGCTCAGAAAGAAATTTGAATGAAATTTTCAATATATTCGTTATTCATGGTCTATTTTGGAACTATTATTGCAAGAATGCCCAGCTCTTTGTCTAAATCTTACATAATGCATCTTTAATGAAACAATTATTATAAAATGGAAGAAAGTATTAACAATGTAAGGATTGTATGAAAGTCTATTTCTATTGTTACATGTTCAATGAGATCAAGATTTACTACCAGACAGGTACATTGGAGATTGTTTATTCTGGAGACACTTCCTTTTAAATGCCCTCCAGATGTCAGTCATCAACAATGTAAATCAAATTCAGAAAATAAATTATGAACGGTTTTATCATGGTGTGTCTACAATCACAGGATTAAGGAACCTGTTGAGCCACTGTAAATTGTTTTTAAAAAGCTTATTAACGTTTCTGAATCAAATTTCTATTTTTAAAATATTTATTTTAGCACACAGCTGTTTTTTCAATAATTGCAAATGCTGACTAAGTCAAAATACTGACAATGTCTATGTATTAACAATGAATATCACATATTTTTTGTTTCTTACATCATTTAAGAATATTATATAGGTTATATTAGGTAAAAATAACAGTTCATATGTAACAGAATATATACAGGCAATTTAAATCACAGGTGCATATCATTATATATAAAATTGCATGTGCTCAAGGCCATTGATAATCATTTGCATTTTTTGAACTACATCCATAGAGTTATATATAGAAACTAGAGTCAGCACCGATCACGTGACTCCCATGACAACAACATTAAAAGTTTGTGCCGGAATGGAGCGACGGCCGCCATGTTAGTTCCGGGGAGTATGAACGTAAATACCTGGATGTTCACTATGTTATCGCATCAATCAATCTGTGTCAAACTGTTTTAAAACGTGCACAAATATTAAATTTTTAAATTTTCTCACCCAAATACCTATTGTTTGATAAAAATAATAATAAAGATCCATGGACCGACTTATCTCCGGGCCCCTCTTTCCACATAAAGGTTATAGAACAATTTAATTTGACATGTCAGCGATCTCGACCACATACATCTCACTTTAAAGCTTAATCCACACACTTAAACATACATTATACAAGAGCTAAATCTGCCCATTGCAGGTCTTTCTTTGGGCCTTAAATATTGTCTTAATTGTTAATTAGACATTAATTAACTTATCTATACCATAATCAACTCTGGATGCCACCGTTAGCCTGTGATAATTACTGGATTTGAATACAATTTGTGATGGATAATTTTAACGTAAAAATGGATAATCGAGACATTCTTTATTATCATAGCAACGTCAGTAATGACAATCGAGACTAGCCTAAAATTCAATGGCTAATTAGTGGTTCAGAGTGAAGCAATTTGACTGAAGTTTTCAGCATATTTTGTTTTCATTATCTTTTTTTTAACTATTATAGTAAGAACTATCAGCTTCTTATCTAATCTAACCTAACGCCCCTTTAATTAAGAAATACCAAAAACATAAATGGTATTTAACCTTCTGACCTGCATTCAATGGAGTTAAAAAAGAAACCCCATCAAAAGAGCAAAATTTTGCGTACTCTTTTCCAAATTCCAAACCGCTAGTTTGCGAGCCAACGTCTTACTCACTGAGCCACCACAGCTCTCTAAATACTTTCAACAACTGCACATTTTTGTTAACCAGCGGCTGCCAGGCAGGATACGCCCACATTTTCGAGAGATGGATAGAGAACAAGCTAACAAGAAAGGGATTTTTCCTACAATCAAGGGCCATAATTACAATTCGATATGCGCAAATATCGAAAGGAATTGAGATCTTTGTGTTATAAACTTACAATTCAAGTTTCAATAAAATCAGATAAAAATTGTGACCTCTATAGGGTCCACAACCTTGATATACCATATTTTTACGCTATTTGAGAACAAAGGGCGGCCATTTTGTCTGTCATTTTTGGTCCGATTTTCACGAAATTCGAACTCAGTCGTCCTTGGGGTGTAACGGTGATATAATAATAGGTTTTTTTAAATCGGATAAAAATTATGACCACTATAGGGTCCACAAGCTAAAAACGCGATTTTTCGTACAATCAGGGGCCATAATTCAGGAAGTTACGGTCCGATATGCGCGAATATCGAAAGGAACCGAGATCTTTGGGTTATAAACTTACATTTCAAGATTCAACAAAATCGGAAAAAATTGTGACCTGTATAGGGTCCACAACCTTGATATACCATATTTTTACGCTATTTGAGAACGAACGGCGGCCATTTTGTGTATCAATTTTGGGCCGATTTTCTCGAAATTCGAACTCAGTCGTCCTTATGGTGTAACGGTGATATAATAATACGTTTTTTTAAATCGGATAAAAATTTTGACCTGTATAGGGTCAACAAGCTAAAAACGCGATTTTTCGTACAATCAGGGGCCATAATTCAGGAAGTTACGGTCCGATATGCGCGAATATCGAAAGGAACCAAGATCTTTGGGTTATATACTTACATTGCAAGTTTCAACAAAATCGGAAAAAAATTGTGACCTCTATAGTGTCCACAACCTTGATATACCATATTTTTAATCTATTTGAGAACGAACGGCGGCCATTTTGTCTGTCAATTTTAGGCCGATTTTTACGAAATTCGAACTCAGTTGTCCTTATGGTGTAACGGTGATATAATAATACGGTTTTTTAAATCGAATAAAAATTATGACCTCTATAGGGTCCACAAGTTAAAAACGCGATTTTTCGTACAATCAGGGGCCATAATTCAGTAAGTTACGGTCCGATATGCGCGAATATCGAAAGGAATCGAGATCTTTGGGTTATAAACTTACATTTCAAGTTTCAACAAAATCGGATAAAAATTGTGACCTCTATAGGGTCCACAAGCCAAAAACGTGATTTTTCGTACAAACAGGGGCCATAATCCATGAAGTTGCGATCCGATACATGCCAATATCGAAAGCAGGCAAGATCTTTTGGAGATACACCTATATTTCAAGTTTCGTTAAAATTGGATAAGAATTGTGACCTGTAGAGTGTCCACAAACAAATTGTGGAAGGACGGACGGACGTCCGGACGGACAGGGGCGACGGCATAATACGTCCACATGAAAATGTGGGCGTATAAAAAGGTTATTCAATGATCAAAATGCATGTCAAGTCATTAATATAAGTTATGTGTATATACCAAAAGAAGATATAATCTCTGAAATGAACTGAATAAATGACAAAAACGGAAAAAAGCCAAAGAGGGGGTAAAAAAGTGACATGTATGGGAAACGGGGCTGGGGTAATGGAATGTAATCTTTACATTTTTTTAAGTAATGGTCATGTAACGAGTAATGGGAAACTAAGCCAAACAATCTGAGGGAATTGGTGGGTGGGAATTTGAAACAAAATTGTTTAATTAATTTGAGAATAAGGAGTGTAATTGAATCACTCCATGTCAATTTAGATTTAAGGATGGGTTCTGGTGAAACATGTAAGACACATTGATTGTAAAATTTTGTTTCTCCAGGTCATAAGAAATTTCATACTCTCAAATAAAATAAGTTTTGTGGATCAAACAGATGACCTAATAATGTCTATGGGACTCATGTTTCTTTAAAAATTAGAGGGATCACAGCATATGCTAATTTAAACCTATAAGACAAACATGCAGTCAGGAAACATAAACTACACAAACATTGTAAGCAATGAACAACAAACATATATATATGGATCTGGGGGCCAGTCGCAAGCATCCACTGCGCTGTACAGTCCCTGACCTGTAAATATACAATTAACCTACCTCTCTATGTTCACTGCATATTTTACATAACCACAATGGTTGTCGAGCACTATTTATAGTATCCACTCCACATTTTGAACATACAGCCTTTAAAAAAATATTAATAATGGTAAAAACAGTGAATAAATTTCACGTCAATCAGGTGAAATATTTAGACTCTAGAATGTCCACAATGTTTTTCAAAGTGATCAAGGGATATAACTCTTAATGTAATTATCCGAATCATTGGAGACAATTAGGCTCTTTTTGATCATAAATTTTAAATCAATCCGGTGATACCTTTAGCCTTTAGACCGTCCGCAATATTTTTCAAATTGATCAAAGGCAACAACTCTGACAGTAATTATCAGCTTCTTCTTTTATAGGCTTCTTCACCTCATCAAGATAAACAATGTGGAAACCTGTAGGGCGTCCACAAGATGACAGTGCCCAAAATATACCACCACGTTACAGGGAGTGTGTATAAAAATAGATTTACCTTTTTACAGTCATCACAGAATGTTGGTGAAGATCCAAGTAAACCAAATTCATCTCCACATAAAACACACTGAGTTGTACCATTACCAATACAATTCTTCTTCATATTATCTAATTTCTCTACTAAACGTCTGAAATAAACAAAAGTTACGTATAAAAAACTGTGCTGCAATTGAAATTAAATTCAATTAAAAGAGTGTTTAACATTTTCTCTATATTCTTCTTGCAATTTAAAGTGGTATTATCATGCTAACCAAGATAATAAAAATAATTAATATTGAATAATATCTTATTTACAAGATAGTCATGCAAAGTGCGGAAATATGGCCACACGGCGGATATATTTTGACAGCAGCTTATATATACTTAGAGGCCAACATTCATTAACTCCTCTAAAACCTCTAAAAACAGTAAAATGTTTATATCCCAAACATGGTTCAACAGATGTGTCTCAAATTTTTAGTACATTCTCCTTCTAGTTGGTTTTAAGGTAACATGCTTCAAAAGGAAAGTCTAAGGCACTGCCAAATTGATTACAATCGACAAGCTTGTTTTTTGGACAATTGTGCATTGATGTGTCACAATTCAAAGATGGCTTTGATATAAGTCTGGTTTGTTGCCGAGTTTATATAGCACTAACAAGAATATTTCATAAAAGAAATGTATGAATTACTGCATTTTAATTCTTAAAATCTGAAATCTTACCCAATTCTTTCTTGTTCCGACTGGTCCAGATATTCTGCTCTCTGCATTACCCTCATGATTTGTTCTTGTTCATCTAAATTTAATTGTTTGGCCTTTTGAAATGATGACATACGGTTTGTGTGAACTGACCATCCAGTTCCCAGCCTTTAAGAAAAATTCACATGAAAACTTGTTATCGATTGGCCCATAATGATTGTTGATTGATATGAAAATGTGGAAGGAAAGGAGATGGGGTTTAACATCCTACTAATCTGCACCGACGTGGGCTAATGCCTTGACAGCAGCTCTATCGATCTACAGCCTTCAGATTTTTTTAATACAGGACCTCACTTTTTTGTTCCATCTGAATAACTAGACACTGATAAGGGTAAACCATGCTGGAATATTCAAGGGAACTTTCTCAGCCAACACCAGGCTAGAACCCTACACCTCCTGCTTAGTGAGTTTGTGTCTAATTCACCAAGTCACCTCAACTCCTGATATATAATAATGTACAATATTAATCAACTGGGTTTTTATCAGTACAACTTACAGGGTAGTGCTTCGTTTAATACCACAACATTTTTATAATATACAATATTAATCAACTGGTAAGCTAATGTATCACTAACATAAATCTTTTTAAAAAATATATCTTTATAAAGATTCAGATGTACATGTACCTAACAGGGCTGGGGGTTGACAATGACTGTGTTATGCACAAGACCTCAGTGTAAATTGATAAATAGACCATGCCAGTAGACATCAACTTGATATGTTTAGAAGAGCTGTATTTTGTCTGACTATTTACAGTACATACTCGGTATGTAAATTTGTTATAAGTTAAATGGCTAAATCTTTTGAATTTGGGTTAAAATAACCATACACATAAATATAACTGATTCTGTGTTCAACTGTCAACATGTACACCATGCCAAATATCAAACTAATATTAGTAAATATACTCACTTCAGCTTACCATTCAATACCTTATTTTGACCTAAATCTATGAATTAGCTCCTTTAATTAAATTTAGACAACTAAAATATAAAATCTGAATAGAATATTGATAAGAGTTTTAACAGTTTGGAGTAGTAGGGGTGGGGACGAAAAGTTTTATATGATACCCTTGGAGTGTACTGCACTTCACTATTATATAATCTCCTTGTAAAAATAAAAACTACTTACTTGGCTCTGAGAGCTAACTGTCTGTCATTGGGACAAACCCACCTCTCCATGATGATGGTGGCTTATCAACTATTCCAGCTATATAATTGTTTAACCCATTAACCACATTTAGACAGGAGCCACATTTAATGGAGTTTTGATGGGAATTCAATCTTCACAATTTACTCTGCAATACAAACGTTAACGTCAGTCGAGTTTATCAGACAGCTAATCAATATCAGTAGAAGTAGAATCAAGATCATGCACTAACTAATCAAATTTTACCTCGACTATTGTTGATAACCATCCAGTACCGTCAACCGATACACACATGTATGGATGATGAAATTTGACATACAAAGTACTATGATAGAAAGGTTGTAATAACTCGGCTCTCTGTCAATATATAGTTATAGAAGATGGTCACGTACTTAATATATGACAAAACAGCACAGTTTATCATTTATACTAAGGCAGCCTCTGCAATTATAGGCTAAACAACATTTGTCTTCTGATATTTTATTTATATAAAATCAAAAATGTATTCATTCCTTGATAAATTCCATTAATTTCTGGGCTATCTGAATTAATACTCGGACATCACGGAAGGGTTTACCCAGAAAGTCCAATCTTCAATGAGAAAGCATGCAGACGGAAGGGTTTAACTCAGAAAGTAAAATCGATATACCGTACACTCTATCATGGGGATGGAATAGTTCAATGAAATGTTATTTTTCTTTACCACTTTGAGTGACTTTAGGGACTGCTTGAAATAAGTTAGATATTGGTCCTCTATTGTAAAAAAAAAAACCCAAAGATTATCTGAGGCATTTATTGCTCATAGCTTTATTTATTTTTATGGTTGGGTAATCATGTATGGAGATAGATATCGGTTATATAATTATAAGTTATATGGTCATTTGAATATTGCAATGATTACCCATGACTGTGATGTGGCATTATCATTAAACCTTTAATTATTTGTACATTATTACGTGACATTTAGAAACAAAATAAATTTCATATCCTCTAATATCAAAACCATTCAAAAGTTATAAATAAAATATAAATAGGGTTTTACATCCTACTGTTCTGCTCCGACTTGACTAATGAAGACTGGTACTGCCATACAGTGTGTTATAAGGGAAATTTTGCCCAGACAGTGGCACTTTTATATTGAATTCCAACTGCCAAGGGTTCTTTTAGATGCACGCCAATGTGTACATAGAACCTCAGTTTCTCGTGCCATCCGAACAACTATTCGTTGTTCCTTGCCAGGCCCTCAGTTCTGCAACACTGACAAGGAGGAACCATGTCGGAAAGTCCTGATGAACTTTCTCGGCCAACGCAGGGATCAAACACTGGACCTCCAGGTTAGCGAGCCAATGTCTTACTCACTGAACCACCGTGGCTTCTCAAAAGTTATAGTTTCCAGTCAATAGCAATCTAGACTCTTATTAACATGACCTGCTGCCGCCATAAATGTGAGTCACAAAAAAATGTACAAGCTGCCCAAATAAATGCGCTCCCCTCCACCAAATATCTAATCAGAACTCTTGTAGCCAAAAGCAGTTATTGAGGAGGAGTGGTGGATTTATCTAGGATTTTAAAGGGACTATCCCTTATTTGAACAGTCTCAAAAATAAAAGTCTGAGTATGTATGAAATTTAAACGCCAAAATATAGAGGAATGGTGTATTGACCGTATCTCAAAATTTCAGCTCAAAATATTGAGTCGTTTGGACGTGACCGTCAAAACTGCTTATCCAGACACGTAACCCTTTTAAGATTTCGGGTCAATATTTTCGTTGGGTGACCTGATAATCGATTCCCGTTCATTGAGAGGGCTATACAGTGAATGACCCAAATGCTGTACTTGGTAACGAAATGTAAATTTCACCGACACATAATTTTTATACATTTTATACAAAAAATCTCTGGTTTTATCTAGACACCGCATAATACAGCTTGGAACACCGGTCTCCATTTCCGGATGAAAACTGACGTGTTTCAGTTATTTGAAAACTTATCACAAATATTGAGTTAGTTGCTTGGCCCTTAGGTAGAGGATTTTTAGGGATTTTAAAACAAAATTAAACAGTTTTATTCTCCCAAAAATTATCGGGATTAGCCCTTAAAGCAAAAATGTTTTCCCATCTCTCCAAATTGTGAATATAACTGTAAACTCATGTACGATAAGTCTGAGTAATCTCTTCAATTAAAACAACAGTCATTACATGCAAAAATACATCTTAAGACTTTCTAATCTCCATAGACAATACAATAAAATGGCCCCGATGAAAACAATATCACTTTAAATTCTAATGCTTAAAAAATTACAAAAAAGATTTAAAACCTAATTACATCCTAAATCAATTGTTTAAATTACACTAGAACACGACATGTTTTTGAAAAATGATACAATATATATCAGCAAAGGGAATGATTTAAGTTCGTGTAACCTCTTGTGTCATCATAAATAGTCGCTTAAATGAGACAGACACGATATTTGTTTAATCACCAAATTTATAACTATATTTGCCATTACACAATTTTCCCTGCTATCTTTTTTTAACTTTTTTTTTAAATAGGATAGACTGATTTAATTATATTTGAGCTCTTCATTCTGTACAGTATGAAATTATCGCACAGTTTATATGTCATAGGTATACATTACAAATGTGGTCAGACTGGTGTAGAAAAGTAGGATGTTAAACCTCATTTCATTTCTTTTCATTGCATGGTACACTTGTTTGGGGATCCCCCATTTATATGTTCTAATTTGTTCCTGACCCCCTATGCATCTACATATAGATCCTGAAGAAAGCAGATTTTAAGCAGATACCTTTCACCTGCCAAACTACATGTATACAATTTTTAGGATTTTTTTTTCCCGTTAAAGATGCATTATGTAAGAGCTAAATCTGCCTAATGCAGATCTTTTGTTTGACCTCAAATGTTATATAAATCATCAATTAGAAGATGAGCTAATAAACATCTCTCTAGACCATTGGATGCTTTTGATTTTCACTAGATTTAAATACGATTGGCAGTTAATAATTTAATTACAAAATGGATAATCAAAACTTTGCTTATTATTATCGTAACAATAGAAGCAATGACAATTGAGATAGTCATAACTGTTTAAGTAATTTTCTACACATTCCCTTTTCATTATCTATATATTTTTTTAACTATTATTGCTCTTTATCTAAATCTTACATAATGCATCTTTAACAGTTTACATTTTCAAAAGAAAATGAACACTATGATTTATTCATATTCATCCTGGTCCAAAAAGGTTAAGCATCAATAAATATGACAGACGTATGTGTTCTGTGATTAATATTTCTATACAGCCATTTAATGAGATTAATAAATATATATCAACAACATAAAATCATTTAATGGGTTTTTATCTGGTACCATGTGTTGAAATAAATATTTCAATCAACGTAATAAAGAATATTTAATAGCATAATGTGGTTATGAATGTCGTCAATCGTAGCGATTGTGGGTGGTTTGACAGATGTACTTGATTCTTTTACAATAAATATTGACATCTTGTGATTGGTTGATGTGATTTTAAAATACAATAATTGATTAATATAATAATTAGAGCTAGTAATTGTTAATTGATTTAACAATTTGCAATCTGTTAATTGCTCTTGTAGTGTGTGATAAACAAAACAATTTGATGACAAATAAATCCTAAACTTTTAAGAAAAATGAACCAATACTAATGCTAATTGGAAAAGTCATACAGAATAACGATACATCCAAATAACAATGCTGGAAACAATTGGAGGATGTTCGATTTAATTTAAAAGATAGGTTGCCAGGCAAAGAAGCAATAAGTCATCCAAGCAGTTCATGAGGTTGCGACATTGAGATTCTTTAACCAATAACTAAAGCAATATACCAACACATTTTAATCCACGCTTATACAAAGCATTAAAACTCTCTCCTGGCTAATACACTCAACACAGCCAGCTGAGAAGAGTTTTGCTCTTCTGTCATCATATTCAAGGAGTCTATACAATATTCCAATAATCATTATGCTTACATTCCTATCTGTATGATACACCTACATGATTAGCGAACTAAAAAAATAAATAAAGCTTTGAACAATAAATCCTTAACCGTTGTTTTCCTTCAATTATCAACATCTAGAACTTAGTTATCTTTTAGAGGCATCAAACTATTCCACCCTTTTGAAAGAATGAGCCTCATCACAAAACGATTATCCAGTCTTAAATCTTAATGGGAGAAATACTCTCCTACTTCCTGCGTCAACCCTTCCGGTTGCATGATCTCAGAGTATAAATTCAAATACGTCGGAAATACCCAGAATTTATTGCGGAATGCCAATTGATATTTAAGGAGAGTTGTAGGAATGTTACATAGTTTCTTTGGTATTGTATTTCCCCGCTGCTTTATTTATACATGAAGCCGGTTCGATAAATTGCAGTCCAAAATTTTTTTTAACAAAGCTCTATTTTTTTCTCCTGAGCTCGTAAATGTGCATCGTTTGATAATCTCTGACAAATCACTGCTCGTAATTCTTGATTAAGACAAATTAACTTGTCAAATGGCACAATTCATCTTTCGTTGTTTTTGAAAAGAATTCAACAAATAACAATGTATCGGTATCGTATTATGACCCAAGGCTGAATCAAAATAAGCTTCAATCACAATGTCTAAATAGTCTGTAAACTGACCTTTCCGGGTATAATAACAGAATAAGCATCAAAATGTCTACATAGCCAGTAAGTAAACAGACTTTGGTGGGTAATATGAGAATAAGCATTACACTGTCTACATAGCCCGAAAATAGACATTCGTGGGTAACATTAGATTACATATAAGCATCACAATGTCTACATAACCTGTACACAGATCTTCCATGTGTATTCACTAATCTCTTTAAACCCACTAAATAAACTTCAAATTAAAACATATTTTTCTCAATTTTGCATACAATCTAATTCTGATGAAACCTTTTAGTCAAATAATGCCAAATCATAAAATATATTTTGACCCATTAGTGAAGATCTCTAAAGTCCAAAATGCTCACACTCTCTTCAAATTAAAGAACAAAAATTTTGAGAGGTGTGCTATATTCCATGTTTCCTGTGATAAACACTGATGAGAGATCTGTGTCTATTATTACCTATATTAGTGACAT